CATGCCCAGCTAATTTTTGTATTTTTAGTAGAGATGAGGTTTCACCATGTTGGCCAGGCTGGTCTCAAACTCCTGACCTCGGGTGATCCACCCACCTTGGCCTCTCAAAGTGCTGGGGTTACAGGCGTGAGCCACCCTGCCCAGCCCTTCAGCCAATTTTCTAAATCCAAGTATTCTGGTCCTAGTGCCTTTCCCCACTACCCCATCCCCCTCCAAGTCTGAAAGAGAAAGATTTAGGACAAATAAAAGGAAATCTTAATTTACACCATGGGGAGTCAACTTAAGGGACTCATTATCCCACGTGGTGGTACAGTCTTAAGCTATAAATAGGTTTTTAAAAACAGGTTTAGCTAAACCCATCGACAGCAGTGGCATGAAGAGAGAAGGTAGAGATGAACCCTCGGACCCACCTGCTGGCTGCCTACTCTCAAACCCGCTGTCCTTCTGGGGTATCTGGTGCAACATGAGGAGCATTGGACTGGGAGTCAGCAAGCCAGGGTTTGAATCCTACCTCTGCTGGTGATCAAGCATATGACCTCAGACAGTCACTGCCCTTGGGCCTCAGGTTCCTCATCTGTAACATGGGAATGCAGAGAGTATCTAATATCTCCGGTGGTTGTGACTGCAGTTTAAAAATGCACATAGGGCCGGGCAAGGTAGCTCACATCTGTAATCCCTGTACTTTGGGAGGCCGAGGTAGGTGGATCACCTGAGGTCAGGAGACTAGCCTGGTCAACATAGCGAAACCCTGTCTCTACTAAAAATACAAATTAGCTGGACATGGTGGTGTGTGCCTGTAATCCCAGCTACTTGAAGGCTGAGGCAGGAGAATCACCTGAGCCTGAGAGGCGGAGGCTGCAGTGAGCCGAGACTGCACCACTGCACTCCAGTCTGGGCTACAGAATAAGACTCCATCTCAGAAAAGAAAAAGACCAGCCTGGGAAACATGGTGAAACCCCACCTCTACCAAAAACATATACAAAAATTAGCCAGGTGTGGTGGTATGCACCTAGAGTCCCAGCTGCTCGGGAGGCTGAAGTAGGAGGATCACTTGAGCTTGGGAGGACTGGTTGCAGTGAGCCAAGATCTGCCACTGCACTCCAGCCTGGGCAAGAGAGCCAGATCCTGTCTCAAAATAAAAATAAAAATGCATACAAAACACTGAATGCCGCCCCTGATACTTGGTAAGTGCTCAGTAAACATTCACCCAGCCTGGGTAATATGGGGAAAACCCATCTCTACAAAAAATACAAAACAATTTAGCTGGGTGTAATGGCGCGTACCTGTGGTCCCAGCTGCCTGGGAGGCTGAGATGGGAGGATTGTTTAAGCCTGGTAGGCAGTGGTTGTAGCGACCCATGTTTGCACCACTGCATTCCAGCCTGGGTGACAGAGCGAGACCCTGTCTCAAAGAAAAAACAAAAAAGCCAAAAACAAACAAACAATCTGCTAGTGGCCGGGCGCAGTGGCTCACTCCTGTAATCCCAGCACTTTGGGAGGCCAAGGTGGGCAGATCACCTGAGGTCAGGAGTTCAAGACCAGCCTGACCAACATGGTGAAACCCAGTCTCTACTAAAAATACAAAAAAATTAGCCGGGCGTGGGGTGGCTTATGCCTGTAATCCCAGCACTCTGGGAGGCCAAGGCGGGTGGATCACGAGGTCAGGAGATCGAGACCATTCTGGCTAACACGGTGAAATCCCATCTCTACTAAAAAAAAAAAAAAAATACAAAAAATTAGCCAGGTGTGGTGGCCAGTGCCTGTAGTCACAGCTACTTGGGAGGCTGAGGCAGGAGAATGGCATGGACCCAGGAGGCGGAGCTTGCAGTGAGCCGGCATTGCACCACTGCACTCCAGCCTGGGCGACAGAGCGAGACTCCGCCTCAAAAAAAAAACAAAAAAAAATTAGCCAGTCTTGGTGGCGCACACCTGTAGTCCCAGCTACTTGGGAGGCTGAGGCAGGAAAATCACTTGAACCCAGGAGGTGGAGGTTGCAGTGAACCGAGTTCGCACCACTGCACTCCAGGCTGGGCAACAGAGCGAGACACCCTCTCAAAAATAAATGAATAGGCCGGGCACGGTGGCTCACGTCTGTAATCCCAGCACCTTGGGAGGCCAAGGCGGGTAGATCATGAGGTCAGGAGATCGAGACCATCCTGGCTAACACGGTGAAACCCCGTCTCTACTAAAAATACAAACATAAATTAGCTGGGCGTGGTGGCCGGCGCCTGTAGTCCCAGCTACGCGGGAGGCTGAGGCAGGAGAATGGCGTGAACCCGGGAGGCAGAGCTTGCAGTGAGCCGAGATTGCGCCACTACACTCCAGCCTGGGTGACAGAGGGAGACTCCGTCTCAAAAATAAATAAATAAATAAGCAAACAAATAAATAAATAAATAACTGCTAGAGTGATTATTATCTGCCTCAGGAGATCTGGCCTCAGCTCACAGCCCTTTCTATTACACCAGAAAATGTGTGTGATCTTGAGCAAGTCAGTTCCCCTCTCTGGGCTTCAATTTCCTCATCTGTAAAATAGGAAAATAGTAACTACCTGGCCTGACTCGGGAGAAGACAAAGTATCACCTAAGAGTCAGGCATTATGATGAGAAATGGTACAGCAATCTAAAAGTATGGAGTCTAGAGCCAGATGGCTTAGTTTTTTTTTTTTTTTTTAAATAAATGAAAAATTTTTATTGAGTATTACTTTATACATGCAAATTAAAAGTGAATCTATATTAAGTTGACTATTCCACAATAAAAACCTATGCAATGGGAATAATCAAAGCTGTCTACACAATGCTATTGTGTTCAATAAATTATCCAGATGTTTTTCCACAAATATTTGGATTACCTGAATTAGCTGATTCTTCCACAAAAGTTAAATTTTAGCTTTAATATGGTAGCAGCAGGATGCTACTTAAGTTTAGAAGAAAAACATAAGAATAAAAACCCTGAATAGCACAGCCAAATCTTCCAAGAAATAAGTTCAGCAAAAAAGTGGTATATACCTATTTGGTATCCAGAGGAGGAAACAAAACAAAACATAGGCACTTAATCAATGTCAACCAAGTGATCATCACTAACATTCTATTATTACCAGACACGATATGTGAACTGTAGATCAGAACAGACTTACATATCTAAAAGCAAACCAGTAATCAATAATATATACAGAAATACTAACTTGAAGTCACATTTAAATACCATCAACAGTTTGCTGTATCTGATATGACTGAATTCATTTCATCACTGCTATAAATTCCTTAAAAGTGTTCTTTTCCTAATGTAACATTATCTTTAAAAAATGGTAAGATATTTCCCAGTATGCATCAGTTCTTTCACTCCACCATTCAATAAACGTTGCAGCAAATTAAATAGGACCTATTAACTAGGTCTAAAAACAATGGCTGAATAATTAACACAAAGAAATACTTTTGAGTAAACTATTCAGATTAAACAGGCTAATGCTAACTAAGACTGCATTTTGTGCTACTGACATGCACTACGTAGATCGTATACTACTAGATGGAAGGTTGGTCCATGTCCATTTATTTAAAGATTCTGTAACACCTATAATAGTATTTAATACAGCTCCCACATACAATATTCCTCTCACATAGACATAGTTATTTTTAGTGGGGCTAAGGATATGACTTTAACACGCTATGAGATTCTGGCTAAGTAAAATAAAAACAATATGGACTCAGGTTTTCTTAGGTAATACCAGTTCAAGTTTTTAAACTGGGAAACAACCAACTTCCATAAATCCAGGAGAAACTTAGCATGGGGGAAGGTGCCTTAGTTGATGTGCGTGATAAGCAAACTGTTAGTTGTTTATTAGTATTATGTTTTCAGCTTAATGTAACAACAAAAGAAACGTGTCACATTACTTCTCAGATAATATCAATTACAATCTTAGAGACTGTAATTGGGATTACGATTACAATCCCATGGGATATCCTTTATTTATGAAAGCACAGTTCCAATGCAAAAGTCAAGCTTTATGGTTACATATTAGGATAGGCTCAGACCCAATCTGACCATGTTTAGCACTAACTTTACCATGTTAAAGGTCTGAGTCCTGAATGTTTTTCTCACTTAATAGATTCTCTCCAATGACAAGCTGGTGTATTTGGCTTCTTATGCTAAAAATATATGCCTGAATCCTATAGCAAGTTATTAACAATATCATGAATAGTTATTAAATAAGTGCCAGCACTACATGGAACTTACGGGTCACCAATTCAGAACCATAAAACTACACACATATGCACACAAAAAAACCCCAAAGAAAGATAGCTATCACTGTACATATGAATACTGTCCAGGATATCAGATCAATTATCAAATCCAAGGTCTCTGCTGTTTTGTCTCACAGTGCTGAATATATGAAAGCTTCTCTATTACACTGACTTGTATTATTTTCAAGGAATTATTAAGTGCATTCAAAATCTTACATTTTTATTTCTAATTATAAAATCCAGATTAATCCAGAAAACACAAACCACATGTAACTGAGGTAGGTTTTTCACCTTCTGAATACATTGCTTCTACCACAATTTAAATGTTTAAACTTGAAGAAAAAAAAAGACTACATTGTTCTATATACCTGCCTCTGATACTTAATTTTCTATGTTTGAAACTACTTGAACAAGTGTGACAGTGCTAATCTACTATATTTAGTAAATCTCTTAGTACCTACAAATACACACCCAAAAGCCCTTTCCCCCTTCTCTAATGGTAACTGTTGTATAATAAAATTGCCAAAAACTCTAAAAAGATGAAATAAAGATTTCTACAGCAATCTTCAACTAATTCATTTCAGAAATCAAGGAAGCAAGTCATGTTCATTTTAAAGATGACAAACTTACTATTTTGAAAATGAGCTCATAAATACATTAGAACTTTGAATGTGCTTTATTATGCCACAAATTCCCAGGAGATTTAAGAAATAGTATTCCTGAACAGGAATAATAATTTCACAAATACTATCACTTTATTGATAATGGACAAGTCTTTTAGGGTAGTGCACCTGTACTTAAAAACTACCTTCCAACAATCTCAACACTTCTTATAAATTTTCAGGGGAAACTGTAGCAGAGCCTACTTTATTTTTCAATAGCTAGTGTAAAAGTCTATATGTAAAATAAATA